ATTGCTATGTCCATTTTGTATCCATTCTGAGGAATTCATACACTTTCAGAACATATCCTACTTGGAACTAGTGTTGAGGTAAGTATAGCCACACTAGAACATGAGAACATGTTATGAGAAGAGAAAATGACACAAAACAAAATCTATGGTATTAGAAGAAAATAAACACGGAGGCAAGAAAAGTATTTTCCAAGAGTTCCTGAAGGATAGCATGGGGAGTTCACGCCTAGATGACGGGACAGGTCTTGGAGATGGTTGACAAGGATGAAAACTTGGCTTGACCTCTTGTCTACGGTGAAACCCTCCCTCTCCTCTAAGCCAGTGGTTGCAGAATAGCAAAGAGCCTGCCTCATGCGAAGCTTCCTAAGAACTGACCACGTGGGCCAGCAGAAATGTTCTAAAACTAGAAAGGAGGAGGCGTCCAAGCCTTCAAATTGGTATGCAAACGTGAAAACGAACTCCCAGGCCGGAATGACATTCTCCGTCAGAAGTGACAAGTACAAAAGTCTTAAAGGGAGTATACAAGCCCCTAAGATGTGGTTAGATAGGGCATGGCATTCAAAGATTATTTTTTAATAAGTGTGCTTTTCCCCTAAAAAGAAAAAGACATATCAAAGGCTCTTCTCTCCTCCTGTCCTTTAGATATAAATATGAAACACAAGTGGTCCGTCAGTGTGTCCGTTCACGCTATACGCACGCGGGGTCCTTCCCACGCGGGGTGTACGTGGCAGTTTTGTTGGAGGGAGGGCTGAGATCGGACGGGCTGGAGCAGTTCGGCTGTTTGGTTGGCTGTAAGCTCCTGGCGTAGGGTGAGTACCAGTCCCTCTCAAACACATCCTTCAGCTGCTTAATGATGCTGGTGTTATTCCTCGCGTCTGCTTGGTTGATGACGAGGCCCGTGCCTGCATTCTGGGTGAAGTCGTTCCCTACCCAGTCAAAGTTTCCTGCAAACGAACAAAGTAAAGAAATGGTGAAGATCCATTGGGGGATATTCCCCATACAGTGCAATGCACAGCTGAGTCCATTCAACGTATAGTGACCCACGCTGGTTTGGCTCAGTGGATGGAGCGTCGGCCTAAACACCCGGGGATGGCGACAGGGCGACTAAATTGAGTCGACAGCTCCGAGAAAAACAATTCCAAGAAGGCTTACATATGGCAGATTAATATTCGCGTGCGATTTTCGCATCTTCTTCAGCTGTGCTCAACTTGAAAATCACAACAAGGGATCTGCTGCTCGTTTTTGTCAATGTTATTTCTTATTGACATTCACAAGACACACTAAATACGGCAACATTTCAAATGTGCAGGAATCCGCTTAAAAACCCTGCGAACAATTACCACCTCCACAGAGAGGAAGGGAGAGGGATAGAGAGTTAGAAACATCGATGAGAGAGAAACATTGATCAGCTGCCTCCTGCACACTCCCTACTGGGAATGTGCCCGCAACTAAGGTACATGCCCTTGACCGGAATCGAACCTGGGACTCTTGAGTCCGCAGGCTGATGATCTATCCACTGAGCCAAACCGGTTAGGGCGACTTTCTTAGAAACTTTTAAATGTCTACCAGTGTTTTGAAAAGAACGCATTTTGATAGAGAAACTTATTAGTTTCTTTTGGGGTGGGGGAACCATGGAGTCATCAATTGCGAGATGGACAAGTTTGTATTGAAAGGCAAGGGCACCTAGAGCTGCCTGTTACCAAGGGAGAAGGGGCATCAGGAGGAGTGTGGGCAGGGAGCTTTCTGCCGGAGGCTAACTGGCAGTCTCTCTGGAAGCAAGCCTGAAGTGTCATCCTGTTTCGGGCCACGGGTATCAATTTTAATACTAATGGAGGCTTGAACTGAATCTTGAGCAGTTTACAAAAGTTCCCTTCGCTAGTCAGGAAGCCACGGACTTGGCGTTCAATAGAGTTTGGGATATGCTTGGGGCTGTGTAACGAGGCCCCGCTCCGTTCTGCTGCCTGTCACCATGGTGCTGCTCAACATCGTTTCTCTCTCCCCTCTCGCACATGGAAGCATCATCCTGTTACACACTAGTGCACTGACAGCTGAAATTACCAAAGTGGCCCATTATGTGTATCAAGACAGAAAAGAAAACAAGGCTGCGTTTGTCCCAGGTGTCTGGACAGCAGTTCTCCTGCAGATGGACCGGGACGGAGCCATGTCTGTCTGTCTGTCTGTCTGTCTGTCTGTCTGTCTCTCTCTCCTCTTAAAAATTAAGTGCATGTGGGAATACCCTTCCTTCACGATGCGATTTTAGAGAAAGTGGCGCTTGGCAGGACAAAGGCCAGAGCATTCCTGCAATCTGGGCACGTGCCCTTGACTGGAATCGAACCTGGGACCCTTCAGTCTGCAGGTCTATGCTCTATCCACTGAGCAAAACCGGCTACGGCCAAATGTCCCCTTTTAGAAGCACACCAGTCAACGGGGATTAGGCTCCCCGCTTCCCCTCCAATGATCTCCTTATAACTTGATTACCTCTGTCTACTAGACTCTATCTCCAAATAAGGTCCTGTTAGGACTCAATTTATGAATTCTGGGAGGACACGATTCAGCCCATAACAGATGGTAAGGCTGGGGTCAAGCTACGGCCAAATGTCCCCTTTTAGAAGGACACCAGTCAACTGGGATTAGGCTCCCCCCTTTCCCTCCAATGATCTCCTTATAACTTGATTACCTCTGTCTACTAGACTCTGTCTGCAAATAAGGTACTGTTATGAGGTACTGGGGTTAGGACTCAATCTATGAATTCTGGGAGGACAAGATTCAGCCCATAACAGATGGTAAGGCTGGGGTGGGTCCCATTATGGGCTAATAACATCTAAGTCCCTCACATGTGGTCAACCTTTTATTTATTTATTTTATTGATGTAAGAGAGAGGAAGGGAGAGGGAGGGAGAGACAGAAACATCAGTGATGAGAGAGAATCATTGTTTGGCTGCCTCCTGCATGCCCCACACTAGGGATTGAGCCCCCAACCCAGGCATGTGCCCTGACTGGGAATCGAACCTCGGCCTCCTGGTTCATGGGTTGACGCTTAACCACTGAGCCAGGCCTGCTGGGCGATCTTAATCATATTTTTGTCGCCATCCCTTAGGGGTGTGGTTCAAAGCCAGGTC